ACCCTCATGTTGTAAATGTTAATCAGCGACAACAAGACCACATCAATACACAGCATTTCTACAGAAATAAGCCAAGAAACTAGAGGTACTGTGAGCATGGGCTCACTAAATTATACCCCCCGCCTCCCATATGTGTATAAATGGCAGTGTCCATGTTTTGCTACGGAAAACCCAAAATATGTGTCGGATCAAAAAGTAAAATAGGAGGTTCACAATGGCAATATGTAATAAAGATGCTGTGAAAGTTTCATCAAATTTCATCCAGTGGTATAAGAGGAGTTGCGGATAAGAGATGTGTACCCCAAAGCGTAACAGACGGACGGACAGACGGACGGAATTAACGATTACTATATACCCTCCCGCTTTTCAAGCGGGGGGTATAATAAAAGAAGAAATGAATGCTATTGGATTTTTCGTGAAAGAATTACTTCATACTACCGAGTAAAATAACATTTGTATTATCTTTCTAAAACATATGGAGCTCTGTGTCAAGATAACCTTTTTTTCTATATGCAATGAAGCATCTATCAATTGTACATAAAATCTTTTTAGTTTATGGCAAAGTAATAATCCGCCGGAGAGGGTCTTTGATAAAGCATTATAAGCTATCACCGTAAAATACAAAAGAGTTCCATAGCAATCCAGACATAAGTGGAATAACATGCCTTTCATGAATTTTGCATCTTGAATTTTGAAACAGCAATTTTAAACAGAGCAAGTTTTGCAGAGGGAAATTTAATTAATTTTTTTTTTCATGTTTGAATTAGAGAATATTGCAATTAAGTATGAGCTGCAATATACATGTATAATTTTCCTAACTATACAACGTTTCTAATTAATATCTCGCTAATATTTTCAGTTCATAGGCAACGTCAAATATACTTCTATTAAATTAAATCTGGTTTAATTATCATTTGTTACCCTGGCTGGAAGCTGAAGGATAGAATATCAGCTGCATTGTATCCATCTGTTCGTCATGTGTTCGTTGACGGGAGGTGAAATTTATTTTTTGGTTATTTTACGGCTTATCTCAGCGGATGTTCAAAACAAACTTGCAGGTGTGAGCATTTATTAAAAAGCAGCGGTAGGACTACTGAAACAGTTGTAAATGCTCATTATTTCACGCTTGGGTGACCAAGGATTATACAGGACTCATTCTTAGCTCATCACAAGTGACATACAGTAAAAACTAAACGATTGGTGCATTTATGGAGACAATTATCAATGCAGTAAATGTGCCATGTTTTAATTGTTCACATGGCGGGGGTATCAGTCTCCTTAGGACAACTCTATTTATTATTAGAACAATTATCAATCCTAATGTTTACACCCAGTAGATATGACGTTAGACAAGAGTGACGTTATCTCTCCTGAATGACCGCCAGACAACTTTCATAGCGCTAATTATCACGATCAACGGCGATCAAACGATAAATTTTGAAAGAAAGTGTGTTTACTTTGCTTTATTTTTCCAAGATAGCATCACCACGTGGTCTTTATGGAACCATGGAGTGTATCCAAAGTCCCACCCCTTCTCTGCATAAACATCACTACACCTGATCCACGCGACATATCAGGGAATAAAACTCACTGTTCTCCGTCAGAACTTAACAAAGCGCCATGGAAGAAAACACATATATTATTCTACATAAAATAGACGAGGGTGCATTTGGAGATATCTTATGTGTGCAGAGACTTAAAGACCACAAATTGCTGGCTATGAAACAGATTCTGTACAGAGGGGATATTTCTCGAGACCCTTATATTACACAAGAACTAAACAATCTGTCAAACATAAAGCACGAGTTCATCATCGTGTTAATAGAGGCTATTATAACCGAAAAAAGTGTAAACTTAATCATGGAATTAGCAGAGAACGGAAATCTGGAAGATTTAGTTAGAGAAAACAAACTAGACAGTGACCAACTGTCAGTCATTTTAAAACAATTGTTAACAGCTCTTAATTTCTGTCACAAGAGCAAGATTGCACACCGTGATGTGACGCCGTATAACATTCTGTTGACCAGGGATATGAGTGTTCGATTGGCTGATTTTGGACTCTCGGTACCATGTCGTGATTCTGACGACAAAGTAATTCTTTGTGACGATTATCTTGGACATTTACATTACACGGCACCGGAAGTACTGATGAAGGCTCCGTACGACCCCCTCCAGGCTGACTTGTGGAGTTTTGGAATAGTGACCTACTTTATGATTCATTCAGCCATCCCCTTTGTCGGAGAGGAGGAAGACATTGTGTCACAACAAACAGATGATCAAATTGTGAGGGAGACAATCAATAAAGGGCATAAAGGGCATAAAGGGTTAAATGACACTTTATTCGGAATATTCAAAGTTGTAATGATAAACGTTCTGCGAGCTGTTCCAGAGAGGCGCTGCCAAACAGGTGACTTGCTTAAACTTATCAATAATGAAACGTAAGAAATAGGGCTAAATAGAAAAGATATGCAACATTCCCTGTAATTTATAACATCACTTGTTAAATGCAATCTGTTTTTTTTTTTTTGTTTATACTTAGTTTATTTTGTTACTTTTAGTTTAAGACATTGTTGTCGCAATAAAAACTGTTAGTAAAATCTGTAGTTTATTATTATTTAACCATCATATGGTTCAGAAAAGTAGTTTTTCCACATCCTATGAGAGGTATGTCATTCGATTCTTAATGCAGAAGTTAAGGGTCACACAACAATAAATGATCAATTTGTCGTTGATTTAAATGGATATACCCTCTACATCATGGAATATATTTACAAAATAATTTATTAAAAGTCCTTTTACCAAATTAATGTTTCATTTTATAAGAATACGTGCGAAACATATTTAACATATTCATATTTTTATTGCTTATTCATAAGTAAAAAAAAAAAATTATAAGTGATTTTTTTGAAATTCGTTTTGAAATTATTGAAACATTATTTTGCGACCTTAACAGACTAAGAAACGTTTGATGAACTTGAGAAAGGAATAATGGATAACCCAATGGCTTAAGGAATAGATGGTTTAAAGTCATTACTTCGATTAAGACCTGATATGAACCATATAATAAAGTGAAAATCCTAGTTTTGAATTGCTACTCACTTAATATTGGTTAAAGAGTTTGTAAGTGGAGACACTCAATACATACTGATAAGTAGAACAGATATGTAATGTACATCACGCAAACTTTAAAACCCCGAATATCCGCCTCTTTTGATCTTTTTATATTAAGTAATTGCGGGCTCTATACAGATTCTTCTATCAGCTTTATCTTATCTTTCAGTCTATTTAAGAGAGTGTTACACAAAGTTGCACACAACGATTTTGAAAGCAACCTAGAGTACAAGACAAAAATAAAATGCTGAGAATCGCCTAATTTTCTCGGGGTTTTTAGACATATATCAAACATTAATAGAAATATGAAAGATTTATTAAGAAAAATTTTGTCAATCAAATATTATTTTCATAAAATGTTTAAATTTAAGATTTAAGATGCCTCTATCATTCTCCTTTACCGAAGAGCAGTGAAATCATGTTCCTTTTTTAATGCTCATTCACAGAAATCTAGGATCAGGAAATCATTACAAAAATACAAAATCTTTTCCAGATCAAAGATGTTTTATATTTATTATTCTTACTATCTTTACTATTCACCATGTTATTGTTTATTCCTCTTGGAGGCCTGATAAAGTCATTAAAGCAGTTGGTTCTGTATTTGTAAACAGTGCTGGAAATTTTATGTTTAAAACACACACGATGTATTATCTTAGCATATTGATGGCATAACTACTGGGCATCACTCGTTGGCATACCAAATTCACAAAAAAAAATCTAAGAGGTGAAGATTTCGAAAAGTGATCGATCTAAAATGATAAAGAATACCCATATATAAAACACATATCGGTGGGATCAGGTGCAAAAGAGGATTTAAGCATCCCCTATTGACCATTTACATCCGCCGTGAGCCCTAAATATGAATCAGTTAGACGAAGCATCCAGTCAATTTCAGTATTAAAACAAAGGTTTAACAACTGGTATGAAACAAGTCAGCAAAAATACGACTAAATGAGATAGACTGCATTTGTGAAGGGGTGATGAGAACAGATTTGAATTTTTGAAAACGTGAGTTTATCTAAGGTGAAGAAAAATAATTTTTTTTTCCATACTTATTTAGATTTTACATCTTTATAACTGTAAAGTTAACAAAAACATTTTGTTTGTCAAAAAACAACTATATTAATAAAATGCAAGCTTTAGATTTTTTTTATTGCAAATTAAAAGAAAAATGTCTGACCAGGTTTTATCTGTAACGTTTGATAAGCAGCTTTAGACTTATTAAAGTGTAGGATAATGATATCTCACAATTAGGTAATCTCAATACGTCAGTTATACCGTAAATCTGGAAATTTTTACGTCGATTTATTTTTGCGAATTTGGGTCAAAAAGCTGTTGATTAATTTTTACGCTTCAAATTTTTGCGAATTGTCACTGGCGCAAAAAATAAAAATAACTGAAAATTTTCAAACCAGGTATTGTTTCAAATTATTATGCACAGTTAGAATACCACTAATTTACTTGTAACGTGGCAATAAATTGCAGAATCGCTCCGAAACAATTTTGATAAAATACAAGTAAAAGGATTTGCACTGAAAATAACTTCTTCATTGATTATAACAAACATATTAGAGGTTGTGTATGCCTTTTAACCTAAAATAAAATCCAAATGAAGTAAAAAATATAAATAATTTTCTCAACGTTTGGTTTTTTTCTCACCTAAAATTTACACACCGTGTTTACATTTGGAATTTGTAAATGCACTGAGTTCGAGTTATCGCCCGAGTGGATACATGGTTAGATAAATTAACTGTTCTATCTTTATTTGCAAAATAATTAAAAAGGGGGATACCGCCAAAGTGCTTGTCAAACCATCGGACGATATTGCATATAATGAGGGCAATTAACAAACACAAGTAATTAACTTGTCATGCAGTAGTATAAACAGGTTTCTTTTTAAAAATAGCAGTTGCTACCGACGCCTATTCTCCGAGTTAAAAAAAGACACGAGCTCTCAGAAAAAAAAAATCTTCACATGTTGATTTATTTTTAAGAAAAATATTTTTGCGAATGCAATGCACGCGCAAATTTGCTAAAAATTTATCTACAGTAAAAATTTCCAGATTTACGGTAGTTTGCAGTTTTATACATCTAGGACAATGAATTCAAAACAATGAATAAGTATTGTTTTACTTTTGAAAAACACGCGTTAATGACAATAAATATGATTTTGCGTCTCTTATTCCTATGAGATTATTTTGAAACAATTTTAATTAGGGTATACGGTAGGGTTTATAATGTACTTTACAATAGTTCATGAATTTTAAAGCAATCTCAAGATACACGTAAACTTTGTTATCAAATTTTGGAGAAAATGGAGAGAATTCAAGCTCAAAAATCCATAAAATAATACAAAATAACAGCAGAACAAACAGGAACCTCCAAAACATCGGAGATGGGATCAGGTGCCATGTAGGAGTGAGCATCCCCTGCCGACCGGTCACATCCGCCGTGTGCTACATGTTATTTTCGTTAAAAACGGAAAATCCGTGGATAATGCAGTGTGTAAATAATGGCCTAACAATCAGTATGAAAAAGTCAGTCAGCATTTGACTTAATGATAATTTGTATTTGTTGACAAGGACATTGCATTGACCATAGAATTTACGAAATGATTACTTTAAACGAGATTTCTGATATTCTTGCTTCGTCAACCTTTTTTCAATAACCGACCCCGTTTTAGGAATTCTTGATAAATTGAATCAACTGAGATAGATAAACTCCGTATGCAGGTGACACGGGTATATTGCTGCATAAGTAAGGGAAGTTATTAGTTAAGGATTGAAAAGACCACATAAAAATTTGTTTTTTTATAATCATTAACAAATTTAAAAAAATATCCAGATATGAAACAGTTGTGTCTAGCTCCTTTTTTTGATTTCAAGCTCACCGGGGTAAGAATGGAAATCAAAA